CACTCCAGATTCACTTCGGAAAAGATCTATATGAAATCTAGGTTTATGGAGAATACTACAGTAAGATTCCCTTAATCAGGAATTCTGATAAAACTCTGACTTTTCTGCTAGGCAATTAGGTTGAAGAAATAACGAATAGTTGATAAAAAAGTGCCGGTTCGGGACTGCTTGTCGAGAATTCTCGTGTTATAAATCTAAGGATTTTTCGAAACGGAATCTTGAATAAAATATGACATGAATTTTCAGATCCAGGAGTCCGAAAGATCCTTTTAGACTTTCTCAAGAAAAAACAGGATTAAGATCAGAGTAGATGATTTTCCTACGTTCTGACAGCCTTAGGCAGACGGAGAAAATCGGATTCTAGAGTCCTAATAGATTTTAGAATAGATTTATCAAAGTGTGCCAAAAGCTGCCACAGATTACCACAATTGACTATAATTCAACAGAATTCATTATAATCTATCAGAAATAACCAAAATGCAACAGAAATCAACATACATTACAATAACAAGTAATGCTCGTCGGCAGGACTCGCTTAACTCTCGACTGAATTCAACCTTGTTATCATCTGTTATCGTTTTCAGAGTTCTGCTTCGACAATTATTGTGCAACACATTCACAGACGAAAATCTGTCTATGGTATTATTAGTGATGCCCATTTTGTAAAAGATTCGAACCTTTCTATTTTCCATTCTGAATTTCTAAGATTTACTTAAGCAAACAGCTCGCAGTCGATTGGCATGTTTGAATTAACCCATGCCCCAAGCCTCTCAGACCGTAGTCCGACGATGTTTGTTCTTCCTCTCAAATTTTCACTTTTGTTTAAAGCTATTTGTATTTTCGGATCCTACTTACAAGATCTAGATGTCGAAAATAACTGACCATCGATCTTTTGCCCGATGTTGTTTTGACCCTGACACATACAAACTTATTTTATTTCACATGACCCTCCCTTCAGTCGAGGGAATATTTGATTAAAACAACTACAATAAGCTATTAGACAGGATGAGCAAAAGCTATATAGAAACGAGAGGGCCTCGTTTTAGTTTGCTGATCTCCCTAGTGTGGACCATGACCGAGACTGCAAGACGTAAACTTGCTCTTAAATTTTTCACATTTTTCAGCGTATAATATTTTAATTACACCATTTCCTCGTTGAATTAATCAAAATAGAAATATTTAAAAGAATACCTCGAAACAAAATACAAAAGAACACACGTTGTCCATAGCTTTGCTTCTTTACAAAAAAATCGTTATTTTCTTTTAAAAACGTGTTAAAGGTACCTCCGCTATTACTTTTGGATAACCCTAAGTATATGAAAGATAGATTTGTCGAATATTAGTAAGAGTCTTATAATGTTTATGGTGAAATTTGTGGATTTTGATATGTATATTATTTCATAATTAATATGGCCAACTGTTCAGAAATACTCAGTAAACTAACATAAACTCCAACAAGAGATGTATTCGCATCAAGAGGAAAAAAGCTGATTTTTTTGGTTCTTTATCAAATCTTAGATAAAAAAATCACTCATTCAAGAAAGGTCTGATTTTCGATGTCTTGAGTCTTGACTTAAGTCAAGGAGAAATCAACAGAATCTGGATCCGTAACGAATGTTTTAAGGCCCTTGAAATGATGGAGTTCGGTCGAAAATGTTCGAATAGGGTTTAGAGTATTGAAAGACAGTTCGCAGTTTGCTTGGGAGTACGGGAGTATAAACCGAAGTGCTAAAGTATGATTTGAAGTATTGAAGTACCATCAAAAGTACTGGAATATTAGAGCATATAAGCGATAATCTACTTAAGACACTTCAAGGTATTGATTTCGATCATTAACATTTCAATTATCATATTTTCGACAGCTACGCATGTAAAAAAATGCCTCAGTAATCAAAAACAACTCTGGCTTTTAATCGATTATAATCATACAGTTCTGTATGATTATAATCGATTAAAAATCAGATTTTTTTTGATTAATAGTGCAATCTTTTTACATGGCTAGCTGCCGAAAATATGATAATTGAAATGTTAATGATCGAAAAGAATCCGTTGAAGTGTCTTAAGTAGGTTATCGTTTATATGCTCTAACATTCTAGTACTTTTGATGGTACTTCAAAACTTCAGATCATACTTCGGTACTCCGGTCATACTCCAATACTCCAAGCGATAATCTCGTACTCCCAAGCAAACTCAGGACCATGTTTCGATATTCTAAACCCTATTCGAACATTTTCGACCGAACTTCATCACTTCAAGGGCTTTAAAACATTCATTACGGATCCGGAGTCTGTTGATTCCCCCTTGCTTTAACTTAATCTGCTATCGTAAGAAATCATTCTTGTGTAAATAAAACCTTGTTGGGAAATCAACGAAGTATGATTCTAAGTTTAATAATTTGCTAGACAGTCAATAATCACTCGATGTTTCGGAGTACTGGAGTACGAGGGTATCGATTCCCTCGTGTTGTCAATACAATGGATATCGCTGATCGTTTTACCCAACACAGCGACATACCAACATATTTACCAAAGAAATAAACGAGGTCTGCCTGTGTCTTTCTGTTAAGAAACTTCATCGAATAAGCAATTGATCATTTCGCTTTGTTGAAATCGTTGTTCCTGGATAATTTTCTATTGATAATTTGTTTAAAATATATGTGAAATGATGACGAACGATCAAATCTAGGACGATGCTTACAGTGGTCGAGACGGCCAAAAACGATAATGTATACTGTGGTTTTACACAATTTACGGTCGTAAAATAGCTGTAAATTGACGTGTGGTAGGCACAATATCACGGTCGTTTTTTAACTGTGTACGACACGATAAAATACGGTCGTCAAACGGTATCATATAATCAAGTATCTGGTCTTTTACAACATGGCGAGATATGTTCGTAATACTGTGCCTACCAAACGTGCGAAAAACTCTCTAGAACGACCGTATTGATTTGACCTCGGAATAACGTCAAAGGAAATCGAATCATATGAGTGGATAGAAGACTGATGACATATTCAAATTAGGTTTTTCTATTTTAGAATCTTGTCTATATATGTCATGTCATGTCTTGTCACTTGAAAAATGATTCTCATTCTTCATAATTGGCTCCGGGGAAGTCTTATTATATTCAAATTATAGAACAATAATCTCGAATAGATGTTGACGTCTCCGCGTCATTGAATCCATTTGAATTAGTTTCTATTAAACACGGAATTTTCCTATTTTCTATTTGTTAAATTTAAATAACTAAAGAAGCTCTAAGGCAGCAATTGTGAACAAAATCAATATCACATATTCCAATCATTATCAATCGTCTTTAGTACAAACACTATTGTTTCGTGAGTTTGAATCAATAAATATTTTGTGCATGTCGCAAGTAAATAGAAAAGAGACGGTTGGTTTCGATGAAATAAAGTCATGTTTGATAATAGGCTAATACTCATCTTTCTATTCGAAAGAATCTGATGAGAGTTTTGATCTAGACGCTTCAAAAGTTGTTTACATATGTAATTGAATTCTATTTTGAGAACGTCATAGAGAGAACAGAGAGAAACGGCGACGAGGCGGAGAGAGTCAATTTGAAGAAGAATCGTGCAAATATTCATTCGATCTTGTAAGAAAGATGTCAGCCTATGAAATAGCTCCTCAAATCGGATTTTGGGGTCTAATTATTGTATTTTCAATTGGAGTCCCAGGAGCATTGGCCAACGTAATACTATTCGTTGGTGTGAAAACATTTCGTCAATCTCCATTGGCTTATTATGTTGTTGGTCAATCATTAGCCGATGTGAATGTCTTGTTAATAGAGTTTTTACAAATAATACCATCAGTATCAGTATCGACATCCTCAATCGCGTGTAAGTTGATGGTCTTCTTTGTTCAAGCAACGGCATGTGCTGCAATGAATTTTCTTTGTTTGTCTGCATTTGATCGTTGGGCATGTACATCTCAATCGGCTCGAATACGTCAATTGAGTTCGCCTCATGTAGCTCGTCGTCTTTTTCTTCTTCCTTTTATTCTTTGGTCACTTGTGAATATTCCTTTTCTTATCTATTTTGATCTTGTCCCACCTACATTCAGATGCTTGTATACGAATGATCTCTTTATGCGAATAGGAATTCTTGTTCTTTCTCCAATTTTTACTGCTCTTCTTCCTCTAATTGTTTTAATAATGTTTGGTTTGATGACATATCGTAATATTCGTCTTGTGGTTCATGTTCGTCAACAACCAAATCAAATTCGTCTATCAAATTGGGAACACCAGATGACAAGAATGATGTTAACTCAAACTCTTGTGAGTGTCATTTGTACGATTCCTCGAGCCATCTTCCTCGTTTATACGACTGCTACATTCGGCGAACGTCGCACGAAGAGTTTTGATCGAGTATCAATTGAACTTGTCATCAATTATCTGACTCTCATTATCAATTGCGCAAATTTCGCCTCATCCTTTTACATATTTTTTCTGTCATCACCGCGGCTTCGACAAACGATTAAAATGTATTTAAAACGTCTATTACATTTGCAATGTAATCAATTAGGTGCAACGAACATATCATTGACAGGACCGCCAGTTATTAGATCAAACCACAAAAGCAATCGTTTACCCAACCATCCCAACTGAACATCATGGATGATAAATGTCGGTTGATCTGGCCACTCTTCAAGAGATTTTTCTTTTCGAAACTTGAATTTTTTGAATTTCAAACATAGAAATACCCTGTATCTTGCATGATGTCAAAACCTTTTTTCTTTTAGCCTAAATAAAACGACACAAAAGAATCATTGACCAAAAATATTGTTATCAAGTTTCTTATTGTGAACAGAAGAGTTCGAAATAGAATTGATTCTAGTCGGTAATCTCAATGTAATACCGAAAAAATGCCATTTTAAAGTAAAAATCCATAGTTTCCGGCTACTTTCTATTTTCTTGGGCATTTTTGATTAACAACATGTGCCCAGTTAAAATAGCATTTTGAGCCTCAGAGTTAAAGATGCTAGTCTATTACATAGAAATTAGAAACAACATATGAATGATTCGTATTTATTACATAAGGGACAATGATATGTATGTACAATGAAATTCTGACAAGAGACGCAATTAGTCTAATACATTTGAGTTCTCCACACTTCATATTCTGATTCCTTCTCTTTTATTACTGTTCGACCGTGTAACATTAGATGATTTTTAAAAATAACCAAGTCATCATTATCCCATGTATATTCTATACATCATATCAAATTGCGCATCTTCTTCGTCATTCTGCTATTAAATTCTTCAAACGTCATTGTATCAATATTGTTGCTGTTGCTCGAACATTTGCTTTCGACCAGTTGATGATCAGTGTCTGATGCTTCCAAATATCGAAAAATATTTTCATTTGTTTTTGGATGTGACACGATTACAGGATAGATGTACGATTGTCGTGTGATACTCGAGACGTCCATTGACAAAGTTTGTTTTCTTTTCTCCTTGTTCAGAAGGAGCTTGGACATAGTACAACATAAAATGTTGTGGTACATAATCATTGTAGAAGCCTGGTTTTTTTTTATAATTATTCTGGTAGATAACATAAATCAAAATGTAGAGGCAACCATTCATGAGATACATTTTGCCACTTTTGAGTATTGAGGCTGGTTCTAATATGAGTAAGGAGCCAAAATTTTGCATGACTGATGGACCGAATTGTTCACAGAATTTTGAATAACTGTCTTTGTCAAACGAGTTTTGATATAGACGAAGAATAACGACACCAAAATTTTGTAATAACATCTTCATCTAGTCGACATTCAATTGAAAAACATCGGTTTTCTTGCTTAAATAGATTGAGAGACCAAAACAAGGTGAATTGCCCAGTAAAGACAATTTTAATGCAGAGACTATTGAAACAGACAAACCTTGTGACAATTGGACAAAGCACTATATTTGATTTTTGAACATTATTGAAACATGTTCACTTTGCATATTTAGTTGTTGATATGGCATTAAATTTTGATTTCAACCAATATTAATAACCAAAACGTTGTGCAACGGTGTGCGAAGAGTACAGTGATGATTGGATTGGTCACCAGTATCTACCATTGATCAAACGAAAACATTGATGTTTCATACTTCTGCACCAAATTTTCCCCATTTCTAATGTCAACATAGTTATTCATACTATCCAATTGAATATATGTCATTGTCAATGAATAGTATCAAACTGATTTCTCGACAAATGCTATTGAGATATTCGAGTGCGTATAATTCACTGGCAGCGGGTAATTTTCCATAAACTTTTTCCAGATTTAAAGATTTGTATAGAAATGCTGGTAATAAAAGTCGAATAGATCCTTTTTCTTCTATACACACTTGAACTTTCTTGATCAATTCATCACGTCCATATTCATCATACAAATCACATTGTGATGCTGAACGAATTGATAATAATTTATTTTCGAAAATTTTTATAATTTGTTATTCTAATGATGACATTTTTCTTGTATTAGAAAAGTCGGGTTGTTGAATAATGAACATAGTGAATAACTGGATGTCTATTTATATGGATGACCAGAGGTGCAGAATCTGTTGTTGAAATATTTAGGGTAATCCAAAAGTAGTGGAGGAAGTACCCTTTCTTCTTAGAGAAAGCTTTTAAAAAAATTTCTTTTTTATGAACAGATAGAACATGTTTCGCTCTATTTTTCTATACTATTTGATCACTATTCAACTGGTATCATAAGAATAAAATTACCACAAAAACTGTTTTTTGTTGAAAACCAGCTGGTAACATTAGGTAGTAAAAGGATCTATAATAGATGGCAGAAATATATATTTCATATTTTAATTCCTAAAGATGTTTTATTAAAGAAACAGAATATACTACAAGATGCAGCGTGAAAAGCTCTACAATCTACAAAGTACAGCTTATTTTATAATATGCTTTTTCTTTTCAAAAAGAGACAAAAAATCTATGCGAACCACCTTCGACACTGAAGAAAATCATTTTTTGATACATGAAAATTTCTTTTCTTTCCGTAGTGTGGAAGGTGGTTCACATAGATTTTTTGTTTTTTGAAAAAGAAAAAGCATATTATAAAATAAGCTGTACTTTGTAGATTGTAGAGTTTTTCACGCTGCATCTTGTGGTATATTCTGTTTTTTTAATAAAACATCTTTAGGAATTAAAATATGAAATATAAAGTTCTGTCATCTATTATAGGTCTTTTTACTACTTAATGCTACCAGCTGGTTTTCAACAAAAAACAGTTTTTGTCATAATTTTGTTATTATGATACTAGTTGAATAGTGATCAAATAGTATAGAAAAATAGAGCGAAGCACGCTCTATCTGTTCATAAAAAAAGACATTTTTTTAAAAGCTTTCTCTAAGAAGAAAGGGTACTTCCGCCACTACTTTTGGATAAGCCTAAGTATATGAAAGATAGATTTGTCGAATATTAGTAAGAGTCCTATGATGTTTATGGTGAAATTTGTGGATTTTGATATGTATGTTATTTCATAATTCGTATGACCAACTATTCAGAAATACTCAGTAAACTATCATAAACTCCAACAAGAGATGTATTCGCATCAAGAAGAAAAAATCTGCCCTTTTTTCATATTTTTCATCAATTTTAAATCAAAAAACAATCACTTATTCAAAACAGGTCTGGTTTTCGATGTTTTGTACCTTGATTTAAGTGTTTTCTTATTATTTAAGGCTGTAGGTAGAGTGTGGTTGTTAGAAGAAGATGACTCCTGCATCTAGCGGATGGGATCTATCATAATAATTATATAAAAAAGGGCTGTTTTCGATTACCTCTATAGCTTCATTGCATTTTCTTGTTATGTGTACGTGTCCCTTTCTGATATGTTGAAATGTATTCGTTCTCTTTCTCATTTCTATCTATATGATCGTTTATATTCTCTGTTACCTTCTAGTGAATTGTTTCCATAATAATTTCATTTATTTAAGTAGTGAATGAAAGGAAACAAATTGTATCTTTTTTTTTAAATTTTTTATAGATACTTAACTTTTCGACTAAATTTAACTCGTCATTGTCAAGAGAAACATAACCACCAACTTTGTTCTGAATGCCTAGAACCACTACGTTACTTAAATAAATAAATTTAAATTATTATATTATTTTGCATATCAATGAGTTTATGTATTGAATTTTTCCGTTTCTGAGCCATGATATATATATATTCCCTCTACTGAAAGGAGGGTCATACATTGAGTGAGCTATCTTCGTTTGTTCGTATGTTCGTTTGTTCGTATCTATGTTCGTTCATATTTTCGTGATGGCGTTTGAGAGAAAGCTTGATCGAAGGTTTTTGGGGTCGAGGAATTCAAATCTGTGATAATTTTTTTGAAATTTTCTGTCCAATGTTTTTGTATATTTGAAGGGCTTTTTCGAGAAAAAGATCGTTTTTTAAAAGTTTGATCGAAGAGTGTGAAGATGGTTGTCGATAACTTAGCAGTTGTTAGTCAAAAGACGTTCTAATTAGCTTGTATTTATATACACTGATTTATTGTTGCAAAACGACGGGTATATATACATGGATTCGGAAGGGAAAGAAAATACTAGAAGGCAATAGAGCGGAAAGAACTCACGAGAAGGTCAGCGAGAACGTTCTTGAACATACAAAGAGAATGAAAACGAATATAATCGAATACACAAGAACATACGAGAAAAGGAAACATATGTGCATCCAAGTGTGACAGCAGGACGAAAGAAGATATAGATGGAATATACACATATAACATGACGTCACACAATCAAACAACAGTAGTGATAGAACGAAAGAAGAGAAAGATATGATAGATACATGATGACACTACCTTACAAGAGGTTTTGTTTAAAGAATTCGAATCCGTAATTTTTTAAAATTTTCCATCGAATTATTCTGTAAAAGAAAGGTTTTTAAGAAATAATCTGCTCTGAGTTTCTTATACATTCGCTGAATTAAGGGAAATTTGCAGAGTATTTACGCTGGCTTCGAAATATGGGTAGCTGGATAAAAGATTTGGTAACGTTTGCACGCAACAGTTCATGTTTGTCTGAAATTCAAATAGGTCATATTTTTCTGGCAAAACTAAACCGTTTAATGTAAAGTCGAGTAGAGTTCGTGTGTTTCGTATCCAAGTCGAGGCCGAGCTCAATCCTGAGAATCAAACTTCACAAGAACTCAGTTTAAGTACATTTGTTATCAAAACTCAAATTTGAGATGAAATTTGCTACGCGCGAGGGAAAAGGTATGTCTCATTGTTCTTAGGTCAGATATCGGTTTAGCTTATCCATGCTTGAATATTGACTGGAAATTCTGTGCATGGTTGCAAATAATAACATTGATGTGAAGTTAAAACAACACGATCCGTCACCACGATTGTGGTGACTACTTCTTTGCTTATCTCACCGGAACCAATGAAAAAATTCTATAAAGGTCGCATCTAGTCGGAAATAGCATTTTTGGAGCACATCACTCTACCGCTTTCCATAACTTCTCAGCAACCCCACAAACAGCTAGTCCACCCAAAATCTCTGCAAAAGATTTCACAACAAAAAAACTTCATAAAACATATGTGAATAATTAGTATTGTGGTGGTACTTAACAGAACGGTTTCTCAGAGTCTCATAGAATTTGCCGAAAGATGTATGACACAGCATTCGATTCATCTTGATCATGGCTGTCTCTTCTGCCGCTCCTCCATCGGAAAACATTTTCACATCAACAAAGTTAACATAAAATTATCCCCTCTACTGAAAGGAGGGTTATACGCCGAGTGAGCTATCTTCGTTCGTTCGTATGTTTGCATGCTCGTTCGTTACATCCCTGAGATAAATTTTGAATAAAGTTTGATCAAAGGGTTTTGGAGTCAAGGAACTCAAATCTGTGGTTAGTTTTTTGAGATTTTTTATTGATTTTGTTTCAAGGAAACAAAGACTTTTTACGAAAAAAAATTTTTGATAAAGTTCGATCAAAGATTGTTGGGTGGAGGTATTCAAATCGGTAGGTAGTTTTGTAAAATTATGTACTTGATTTGTTTCGTAAGAAAGACCGGTTTTTCTAATTTGTCAACTCATATTCTCATCATGATGGTCTGCATTTACTATGCACAACAGATATGAGGCTATTCCTTTTTTTCTATAACAGTTGAGCTGAATGGGGAAACAGTAATAGTGGTTGGTAAAAGTTGTGCGATTTCATCGTCGGTTGCAGTTTTCTCAAAAATAGAAAATGATATAAGAGCAGGTAGATACGTATTGTAGATAATAAAGCCAAATTAATAAGATGGCCTCATTGCAAAGCTACATCAAGCTGACTGAGATCAGAGATATTTTCGAAAGACTTTCAGATTATATAATAGCATTTGAGTAAGTACGATCCCGAACAAGTTATAATAATAGATCACAAGAAACAGAAGAAGACTTAATTTAGTTGAATCAATAATGCTCAATGAGCTTCATTAATTTATGCAAGCATATGTTTCATGACCTGGAATCAAGCTATTCACGCTTTTTGGTGGGAATTCAGACTCCTGAAATCTCTCGCGAGTATGACTTTAGGATAGTGATTCTAATGGATATATCAAAACCACATCATATCTGTTATCGAGAATAGACAATAGTCATTATATTGCAGAAGTGCTTTTAAAGATGGGAGCGGCTAGTCATGAGTGGCGCCCTGGAGGGGCGTCGACGAACGACTACCCGCTCGTTGATGGAGTTTACTGTTGCTTCACTTAAGAAACAATTTGCATAAAAACCAGCATGGTTTTGGAGAATATTGCACTAAGATTTCATTTATTAAAGCCTTCAACATAATTCCGATGCTTCAGGTAGACTGCAAAACTTAAATCATAGAATAACTCACATAAAAATCTCTGGTTTGAACGAAAAATTACTCCAACTTTTTGTACTTATAAAGAAGTTACTAAGACTTATCAATTAGAATTATATTTGAACAGACATACAGCCATTTCCATACTCTTTATGGACTCAGGAATCTTGTGGAATTTATCTCAAAATGTTCAGGACATTATCGAAAAGTGCAAATAAGTTTCAATGAAATGAGTCCTAGTAGTTGCTGGTTTGCATTTTGTTTCTTGAGACTCTTGATTTTTAACCAAACTTTTTTTCGAATTAAGTGATGCCTAAATCATTAAGAATATAAACAAAACAGATTGATCACTAGGATAAGTCAACAACTTGATGTTGGAAATGGCTAGCTGTGAGTGGTGCCCCGAAGAACATCGACGAACGGTTAACCGCTCGATTGAAAATTCCATTAAATAAAGACTATAAAGACTATAGGCTATGAGGATCCATAGAAAAATTGCATACTGTCTGGATTGGAGCGGTTGAAACTGTATCCGAAAGTGGCGAGAAACTGAAAATTTTTTCAAAGTAACCTAGGGTGTGGGTGGTTGTGGGTGTGGGTGTGGGTGTGGGTTTGTGGGTGTGGATGTGGGTGTGGATGTGGGTGTGTGGGTGTGGTGTGGATGTGGGTCTGTCTCTTGCTTCCACTCACATCCCAACCACACCCACACCATAAGCCACTTTAACCCATCATTTTCAAAGACAATGACAAGTTTTTTTTCTTTCTTATCAATATCATTATCTTTTGCATCATTCAATATAACAACACATGCAGTACTCAGTAGTCAGTAGTTCGAGATGTCGCCTGTTATCCTTCTCTTGTTTTGTTCTTTGCTTTCAAATACTATTTCTCAACATATTCCACTTCGATTTGATCAAGCCATTCATCGATTACATCAACATCAACAGTTTTTGCCTGTAAATCCAATTGACGATGTACCATACAATCTTACTCCTGAGCAAATGTTAAACTACATATCTTTTTCAATTTCAAATAACAAAACAACTGCATGTAAACAGGATTTTGCAATTCTTCTCCAAGCAGCATTGAATCGTGATATGTGGGCATTGAAAGTACTCGATGCTTGGGGAAAACCATTACCATCTGGTTTATTAAAAGGGAATACTTATTGGGTTGGTAATTATGATGAATGTATACAACCAATGTATTCGCCAAATAATAAAACATTTCTATCACAGCCATTTGATACACAATATTGTGAGTGAATTTGTGCCTTTATCGACTGTAATAAGAAAGTTTATTTAGGTACTCTTACAACGAAAGTATCTCCAATAAACTCAAGCTCAATGCTTTCTTTTGTTCTTGGCCTTTGTGTTCCATCATCATGTGATCGGCAAGAAGTTGTTTCTTTGATTGATACACTATTTAATAAAAGTAATATTACAAAAGATAATCTTGCTTGTTCAAATGATCCTCCTAATGGACAAAAAGGTCTTACTCATGGGGCAATAGCAACTATTGTTATTCTTTCACTTTTGGGCTTATTGGTCTTGATGGGGACAATCATTGATCTTGTTCTTATGTCAAGAATTAGTTCAGCTGATAATATGACTACGCATAGGAATGGATATACTCATTTTGTAAATGCCGAAGCATCTGAAAATGAACCGGTAAAATCACCACGAGATTCATTTCAAGCATTGATTCCTCCTACACCTCATATAGTGTTCTTAGCTGAATTTTCCGCTTTAAAAAGTCTTCATCGAATATTTACAATGAAGCAGAAAAATGAGGATAATTCATTTCTATTTATCAATGGAATTCGAGTATTATCTTTATTTTGTGTTATTATTGGTCATTCCTTATCGTTTGGTTTCTCATATTCAAGCAATATAATGGATGTACTTAGTTGGACTCGTAATATAGCATTTCAGTTGGTTATTAATGGGGCTCTTAGTGTTGACACATTCTTTGTTCTTAGCGGCTTCTTAACAGCTGTGTTATTTGTTCGACAAGTAGAAAAAGAAGGAAAATTATCTTTTCGTCTAATGTTTCTTTACTATATTCATCGATATATTCGATTGACACCAACATTTCTTCTAATGGTTCTTGTAAGTATTAATTTAACACCATATCTTGGCCATGGTCCTGTCTATCCAACACAACAAGGATTTGAACCGACTGGTTGTCGCACACAATATTGGTGGACATCTATCCTTTATATTGGCAATTTAGTGAAGTCAGATAGTATGTGTTTAGGTGTTTCATGGTATCTTCATAATGATATGCAATTTCATTGGATTGCACCTTTCGCTTTAATTCCATTTGTCATTGGACGAAAATCATTATCTTTTCTTCTTACTATTCTTTTGGTTTTGATTGGAATTGGATCAATTTTAACTATTGTACTATACTATTCTGAGATGCCATTGGGTAGTCTGGCTGCATTCACTGCTACTGTAAGTTTGTACAGTTAGTAATGTTTATTATATCAGATAATTGTTTTTTTATAGGATGGTCCTACTTTGTGGAAAACTGTCTATATTAAACCTTGGTGTCGTGTATCTGCATACGCTATTGGTATGTTAACTGGATATTTTGTTATCAATGCTGGTCGTCAATATCGAATTAATAAATGTACTAAATTCTTTGGAACTGTATTTGTTGTTTTGATTGGTTTAGCTTGTCTATTCGTGACATATCCTGATTGTATTCTTGTATCAGGTCTAAGTCGCCCAGTACTTGTTGCCTATCAATCACTATCTCGAACACTTTGGTCAATTGTTATTGGATGGATTTTGTTTTTATGTAGTATAAATCAAGGTGGAATAGTCAATAAAATTCTTTCATGGCCTATTTGGTCTCCTTTTGCTAAACTTAATTATTCATGTTATCTCGTACATGCTACTATTATTTTTATAATTTTATTCAATCAAACAATGCCTTTATATTATCAAGGACATCTTGTTGTAAATAATTTTGTTTCACATATATTTTTTAGTTATGCAGCAGCGACTGTAGTTGCGATTTTTTTCGAAACACCCTTTTTCATTATTGAAAAGAAACTTTTCAAACGATAGATTTATGTTTAAAATAAATTAATGAAATAGAAATATCTAGATTTTACGTATATAACAAATATTTTCTCCTGAGTTTCTTTCTGCCAATATGTTCAAGGAATTGAATATTATTGTGACCTTCCGATAACAGTACTATTCTGGAGAGTAAGAAAGCGAATTTTTACTTGAAACAAAGCATGATATGCCTTCATGTTTATGTAATTACGTCCTGAAAACGACATGATTAAAAGAAAAAACAATGACATCATCTCTTATCAAAAATGATAATGAGACGTTGTTACCCTATTCTTATCTTCAATCTGAGTAACACTGTTAAGGCTGTATACACAAGCAAAAGATATCAACAATGTTTTTTCTTCTTATATTATTCTTAATACATAATATTACTAAGTATATGTCATTATTCATCGAAATTTTATTGTTTGACATCACACTTTTACGAAAATAGCCGACATCTAGAATAATACATTGTTTATTTGCACGCCACCTGCCAGAAGAATTTTCGAATTCCTACAGGGACTCACTGCTGTTTACAGTGGTGAGAAGGAGACCATGGGTTGCCGGTAGCCAACCGTCAGGTTTTCGTGCTAGCAACTCGATAACCAGGCATTAAACCCTATTTGCTAGTGAAAAGAAACAGAAATCGTGCGCAAATGCACAAAAGCATGTATATTTCGGTGGATGAAACGTGAGAGCATGTGTAAGACGACCGAAGAAAGATTTCATTATTAAACAGCTAAAGAAATATAAGATACAAATAGCTGCTCTTAGTGAAACTTGTATGTATAATAGCGGTGTGAAACAAATCAATGATTACACTATGATATACTCTGGTTTACCATCTGAAAACAAAACCAGAAACGCCCGTGAAGTTGCTATTTGTTTTGACTAGAATGCAACTAAAATGTGAAAGGACTTTGAATCGGAATAGGAAGCAGAGACCGTCATAGGGCACTTTTTTTGCATGCCGTGAGGCCAGGGCTAAAACTAAAAATTCGCCATGCTCCTTGGGTAGGGCATCCTTCAGAGCTTTCCTTCCTTCCTCCTCCTATATGTACTTCAGAACAATATTGTTATGTCTCTTTTGCGTAGAGGCGGCGCCAGGAATTCGGATCTGTGGGGGCTGTGCCCCCAAGCATTGACCCTTCGAAATGATATAGTGTAAGTCTTGCGAATCCATTTTATTCGCTAGGAGCGCTACTGAATCTGAGTAGAAGTAAAAGTACCCGAACGTATGAGTAAAAAAATTACTTATATATATTGATAATATCTTAATATACATATACAACTTAAAGCAATAAAAGTCTACAATTTTTGTGGTTGATTGAAAATTGATCAATTACTCATTCATAATTTATATCGAAATCACGCTCAATAGCCAGTACTGTTAGATCACTTAAACGTGTATCAGTCATTGAATTTCGAAGATAATTCTTAGGGTGTGAGTGTTGGTTATCTTTTCTCTCAAACACCCACACCCTCGTTCAACTTGCAGTTCTCATCTTCTTAAAAATAAGAAAAAACACTCTAATTTAATCTCTATTTTAGGCGTTTCAAGATCAGCAACTATTGTATTGGCATATTTAATGAAAGTAACGTATCTTCAAAAAACATAAAGAACATAATATTGAAATTTCTATGTTAGTATCATCATAATACACTGACAGAAGCTTTTCATTATCTCCTTGAAAAACGTTCTCAAATATGGGCCAATGAAGGTTTCATGTTACAATTACTACGCTATGAAAATGAACTAATTAAATCACGTGAAATTGTATTAACTTCCGACAGAAGTGAAGAATCCTCCTGTACTGCTGCGTTGTCATCCAATGATACGAAAAATCCTATTGAAACATTGGAGGAATTCGAGAAGAGAGAACAAGTATAAATATTTGCAAAAGAATAATCGATGGGACGAAGTCTAACGAAAAATTGTATTGTTTAGTCCCGTTCTGTGTGAATGTTGATCGACAAACAGCAATCATACAATCAAATTCTTGATAATTATGTTTGCCCATGTATTTTTACTAATTTATATTTCAACAAGAAAGAAATGTTACGTCTCGATCTGATTTTCTATTTTTTTGTCTAGATCGTATCAAAGATAGAGACGAACGAATTAAAACATTTGCAGGAATACTGTCTCTGAAAGAATACTTCATAGAAAACGATGAAAATATTTTATATGTAAACATTAGGTGCATGACATGCGCATCTTATTTGAGATGAACGCGATCTTGGCCATGAGCCGAAAGGATTCATTCTATTTGAAGTTTTTCAAGATGATCTCTGTTTAATTTGACTTTTAACTGAATTCATGCAATTGAAATCAGTATCTAGAAATCTCGAAAGAAGAAAATTGACCGTAAATCATATATAAAATAAGTAAAAATGAAAGTATTCATGTAAATGACAAGTAGTGCTAAGATCATTTTTTTGTCCATGATATTCTACACAAGTAACGTGACGCAAACGTCGCTAACCCTCTACTGAAAGGATCTATGCCGTTGTGCATATCGTGTGTGAACACACGAGCTACGGGCCTACTATTCTCATATATACTTAAAGGAACAAAGAGTGTGGGTGTGAGTGTACGTGTGGATAAGGATGTACGTCTGGTCGAACTGAAGACTCACCCACAGCCCGACCCACACCCACACCCTAAGCCAAAGACTATCTTTCAAATAAAGAAGCATTATAATCGTCAATGTCTTGAATTCTCGTCAAGAACAATTGCTTTTCCAAATATTTTAGGAATATTATTTTGATCAAAATTTAATAAAAAAAATAAAAGATATTTTTTCTCATAAGGATTTTCCTTATACCAATTGATACTATAGCTTTTTTTCTGATAAATTCTTGAAATTATAATTTATTCCCTAGGAGGAAAAAATTCTTCTAAAAATTTACTTTTTTCCATAAAAACCGATAAATAACTTGACGATAACGTTCTTGAAGTAGATCGCATCCTATAAACTCATCAGGTTGTCTCAATAAATCACAAAAATGAATAATTTTCGTTCGTTTACTTTTTAAGTCAAATTGACCATTAACAAAAAGAATATCGTTTAAATTTTGATCAATGTTTAAAAATACATCTTTATCTGCTAATATGTCAAGTAATTCACCAAAAATAAAGATTTGTCGTTTTATTATAATAAATATACTGTAAAAAAGACACTCAAAATTGATTTTTTACAAATATCTAATTTAAAAAATTCTTTTACTTTCTCAGGAATGCAAAATTAACTTTCCCAGTGATTTTCTTTTTCTTTTAGATTTTTAAAAATCTTGTCGGGCCATACTTCTTTATACATCTATGTAATATTCAGCTTGATTTATAAAAAAAAAAAATATCTAAATTACATTCAATTATTTCAGATAAAAGATTAAATAGAACTGATGGTAAATTATTTATTCCAAAAAAGTTTCATACCTAAATTGATTAAATATCGATTTTACAGTATTTTTGGCATAATTAACAAAATGATAGGTATTACTAGAAATTTATCGTTTTTTTCTGAATTCTTTTCCAGCTGTTCTCTATTTATGTTTAATACGTAATATTTTACATTAATGGACGTACGATCATATTGCACATGCGCAGCTTTAGTAATACTTTCTACTTGTTTTGCATTTCTTTCATTTTTCTGAATTAACCCACTTGTATCATAAAATCTTATGTTCTCAAGAATAATATTTCGAATTCTAATAGATCTTAAATTTACTCCATCCTTAATTCAAAACCCATTCTTTTTAAAATAACTGATATGTTCATTAGAATTTCCAGTTTTGACAAGTACGACTACATTTTCGGAAATTTCTGGTAAACTATTTCATTGAATATCCAATATTAAATATAGATAGCAAATTGAATCTCAAAGATATTTTGCTTCTTTTACAATATTCTTCTTATCAGTTATTTACTGTCCTTAACTAAATTGTTGGTGTATGTAGTATGATAGTAAAGTTTAGCAACTATATTTTTATAGCTTAATACTTGTTCTTTTCCTAAATAATCTCGAAATAAATGGCAAACGTTCATTTATTTCTCCTGATAATATAATAGCTTGCTGTTTTATTACAGCAAGTCGTATTTCTTCTTGACTAATAAACTGATCATATTTTTCTAAAGATTTATTCTAAAAAATTTATCATAATTTATTTTTCTTTTCTATGTCTCGTATTATTTATTGCATATTTCAAAATCTTTCCTTTTTCTTGTCATAATTTCTTAATATACCACGTCGGATGTAATTATTACAGCTTAATAATAAATTAAAATATTGTACTGACGTTTCGAATTTCAAAATACATGAATATTTCACAAGTGAATATGAAGTATATTATATTAATGATTCAGATCCATCGAATGTATCCCAAATTGTTGTCACTGTTTATAAAAAAAAAGAAACGGTATTTTTTTTCCTTCATCTGTGAAAAACATCGCTTCAGTTTTTGCTTTCGTTATTTATATGATTCTTTTATTAGCAAGACGCATTATTGTATATATTAAGAGATAAAGATTAAATTAAGCGATAATAATAGAAAATGATGACGAATCGTGAAAAGAAAGAGATTTTAATTGATAAAAATCCATCATTAAGTCCTAACTTAAATCTTGTTAATATTGAAAGCAAAGAAATAGAAAAGAAATCTTCCTTCAAGATATAAGATCTATTAAAGTATATCATTAAAATGATGATAAATATAGTAGTAGTGATGGAAATGATATTGCTGATATAGTATATTTCCCTGAAATTTCAATGATTAAGAGGAAAGAAGATCAATTTTATTACCATCTTTTATCGATCGGTAACAAAATTTATTATAGTACAATTAACGAAAAATTGCGTGAAGGATAAAGTACGTCTAGTATTAATGATGATGAAGAATATTATTCTAGTTTATGGAAAGATGATAAACCTGATGGATATAATAATAATTTTAAAAATCACGGTGAATATGAAGGTAAGATTAAAGATGGAAAATCCCATAGTCTTGAAAGTGTTCTCTAAACTTATAGCTGAGTGGAAAGAAGGAAAAAACAGAATTTGTTTATATAAATGATATTGAACAATATTATAAAAATCGATATGAAGTTTGTTTTTATAATAGTTTACAATCTACAATTTTATTAAATAATAAAAATCAACAAAAATAGAGATAATATCTTCAAAATTTCATTGATTTATTTAAAAAACGTCTTTCAAACCTTAAGTTACTAAAAGAAATAGTTACTAACTCTATTCTACATCGAGAATTAAAATCATCAGTTGATCTTTTATTTAAATTAGATCATAGTTATACAAATTCCAATAAATATACTAAAACAGATACAAAAAACAAAACTTCTAATGATTGTATTAATAATATTTGTCAAAGAT